AGGATTGAGTTCTATGTCGAAGATCAGCTTGAGAAGCGGTCGAAAAGTCAATGTAGAGTTACAATACAATACACATGCACGCTGTGTTCTTCTAACCTTTGCTATCACAAGCAAGCGTTTGGTCCGCCATATTGTTGTTGATTGTCGGATGAAATAGGAATTGGACTTAAAGCTGTTCTTCTCCGGCGAAATTCCAAAAAAATCAGTGGTAGATGAAGGGCAGCTTGTAGTGCTATGAACTGGTAATAGAGAGACGTTAATTGTAGCAGTAACAAGGAAGAATATTGCCCCGATGAAGAGAGCACGTTTTGGAGTGGCCATGCTAATATGCTAATTCAATAGCATAGCAGACTTTTTTCAAATACCATTTTTTGCCTTCTTCCTAGAAATTCAGTCTCCTAAACTTAATAGACACAGCCGTCAAGTTGACTCAACAAAGAACTCGACGGAAGCTAAATACACAGCAGAAACGATGCTAAAAATTAACAAACTTTTATCAGAGCATCTGTTCATAGCTCCGCTATCAATACCTTGGAATCACTATCTGACAGATTTTCTTTAAGCATTGAGTTCAAAATGTCTTTCGACTGGTCCTCAAACTGATCCGTTTCTCCGAGGAGATAGCTAACTTCTTCAGTCTTTCTTCTTAGGATTTCCATGGCTCGTTCGTCCTCCCACTGTACGGTCACCTCTATGCCAGGATCGAAAGGAGTCTTCCCTCTCTAGATCCATTTATGGAGCAACAACATGATAACAACTAGCTAACAATGACTGGAAACGCTGGAAATGTTGAGACGTTTGTATTGCAGGAAGTTCTCGTAAAAAAGTTAGGCGCACATTCTTCTCGAAATTTAGCGTTAATTTGATGTATGTGAACCTAACTGTCATGTTCCACAACCGATGGAACTGGATTATTGCAATAAACGGACACAACACACGAATCAAATCTAGAAGTCCGCCGTGTTGCTATAATAGGGAGCTTACAAATCGACGACTTTCGGACGACGNAGCTTGTAGTGCTATGAACTGGTAATAGAGAGACGTTAATTGTAGCAGTAACAAGGAAGAATATTGCCCCGATGAAGAGAGCACGTTTTGGAGTGGCCATGCTAATATGCTAATATCGTTATTGACGCGCAGCTTTTTCCTACGAAAAAAGGAAAAGGCGGCGAAAACTACCGGCCCCAAAATATATTCAGATGTCGTGTCGGCAGGGAAGAAAGGGAAGAAAGAAGACTTTCTAAGCTAGGGAAGCTTTGTAACTGACACACGCTTACTATTTTTTTCCTTTTGATATTCGGCTTCGTCTAGAGGTCATTCTGATCCCGGTCTATACCCGCTCCAAGGTCCTGCGACTTTCTTGACTTTCTATTGTTTTCAAACGATTATCGATATCGAACGCAAACGCAGCTAACTCCGCAAAGCAATACTTTCAGTCCAGATAGGGCTTAAGTTAGTGGGTTTATACACCAAGAAAAATGAGCGAAGTAGAAGAAGAGAGGGATCTGGGGTAAAGGCCATCTCTCGAGGCTCCTCTCTTTTTTCTTCGTCCACTTCCTAGCTCCGTGCAAGGTTTCTTCACAAGAGCAAGAAAACGGCCGGGATTTACAGGCATCAGTAGTATTGACATATGCGCAATGAAAAGCATTGTGACGTACTTATTTTGCGGAAAATTGTTGAGGTATGAAAGTATTATTTTAAGTGTAGACTCGAATCATGGCGCCAAAAATACGTGTTGCGGTGACGGTGTTTCGTTGACTTTTCTTGCGGTGATGCAGTGTTCATTAATTTTTTTTGCGGTGTTGCGGTGTTCAGAACCCCGCCATGTCCCCCTCCTTTAGCTCAGTGCTGACCTTATTCGAAAAGCGAAAAAGAAGAGAGTAGTTTTGTTTTTCAAACTTCTTCATGATGATCCGGAACGTCTCCATTGTTGTTGCTTATACACTGTAGGTCGATTTGATTTAGCAATATCTTACAAAAAGTTATGAATAAAATTATTGCAGTATAGTCATTTGTTATCGCTTTCCCGTATTTAATATTTCCTGGATAACACCGAATGTAACATGACGGGTCGCACGGGGCTTCTACTCTAAGTACCGCAGAGAAATGGTAGGAAAATTGTCCTAGCATTCCTTACATACTCTCACTAGGGTTCTTCGTCTTGCGGCCAGGGAAGACGTCATAATCTGTTTCAGTGACATGTCGATGATATTAAATAAAAAATAAACCAGAAAGGGCCGATGGAATTTGAGACAAGCCTTAAAATGAAGTCACGATATTAACAGTGCTTTAAATGTAAATAGTGCATCGAGTCATTCCCAATGCTTTCAAATGATGGCGGACTCCACCGACGCCAATCATCTGGAACGAAACAAGGTCATTATTCTTGGTTTTCACCAGTCATGTGATCAAAACTAAAAATCGTAACCATTCAATAAATAAATTCAAG